CCTAGTTCATTAATGTCTGATGCGAATAGGTCTGCAAATTCTTCTAGTAATTGTCTGAATCTTTTGCCTTTATCTTCTGTGAGAGGTCTAATATTTAATGATGTTTCTTTTAGGGTTGTATACTCTTTATAAGGGATGAGAGTATCAATAGTATATACAGGTATAGAAGTGAGAGTTGAGTCGTGAATGTCTGTGTCCTTAGGTAGTTTTTCATCTTGCCTGGGATTATTTAAAAATTTTGTGACTCAATAAGGGCAGCGTATTGAGCAGCATACTGGTGAGCATACTGGTTGTCTTCTCTCTATATTCAGGATCAGCCTGAGAAATTGAATTCAATACCTTAGGCTGATCTTAAATCCTTGACAAAATAAACATGTTATCAGGCAGTGCCTGATAACTTATGTTTTGAAATAAATGTAAAAACATCATAGATGCATTTTAAAGAATTAAAAAAATAGGGGTTGCGATTACATCTAAAAGAGTTAAATTTGTTAACTGTCCTAGCGTTACAGGTCTCGCAAAGATGATTATTTAGACTGCAAATTAGTAAATATATACTTCTATACGTATATAGCATGCTATATAGGGAACTGACACTTAATACGTAAATATAATCTCCCAGCCATTTGACAATTACAAGTAATCATAGTGTAAACTTTATATGATTGGTTATTTTATTGTCAAACAATTGATTATTTATTGTGTCAAATGACTGACTCTGAGAGGGTTATATTTACATAATATGTGTTAGCATCCTTACAGTTAGATCCTAAATTTATTAACGTTACGTACATTATTTCAGGTTTTCTTCCGATGAACTGTATTATTCAAGCCAAGCAAAAAATAATAAGAATGAATTACTTATGATAGCAAAGCTTTGCAATAATTTTAACATGCATACTCTAGTAATCGCAAAATTTTTATATATGAATACATTCATTACAAAAGATAACAAAAATGCTATTAAATCTAATTAAATGCTCTCCTTAAAAATAATTAAAAAAGAATGCTTCTGCTAAACATAAATAGTTTTTTTTTTCTTTTTTTAGCAGAAAGCATGATTTTAAAATCAATCACGGAGGTGCTTGGAAAAAACAATGAATTATCTGTATTATGTTTCCATGAAAACATTATTTGACGACGAATCGTTATTGCCAGAATTGTTTTCGGATTCGTTGCTTTCAAGTTTAGCCTTTAAAGAACTGAAACTACTTTCATCACCATCATTATCATCGTAGTCATCATCATCATCGACCAACTTATGACCTAAACTAAGTGCATCCTTCATATTATAATGTTGAGCTCTGAGCTGTGCAAATTTACGGCGCTTTTCCCTAGCTAGATAAAGTAGGAAATTTAACATGAAACAGTAAAAATCGTCCATAATAAACAAATAATCAGTTATTCATGTTAATCATGTTAAATTAAAAGAATGACATACTTTCTTCATCCTCTTCTGAGCTTTCGGATTCCCAATCGTCCTTTATTGAATCAGGAAAATGTGCTGATGTTGGTGAAACGGATGAAAGAGATCCCGCTGGGGGAGATACCCTACTAGATCCCAAAACGAGACCTGGAATAGCTTTAAAGCATATAAAATTAGACTTCTCAGAACATAAACCGATTTCATGGAAAACACGTCAGATTCGGCTTCATTGAAAGTAAAAACTTACTTTGAAGATCAGTCATGATTTCATCAGTTTCTTGATTGTAATGAATGTATGGAGTTTTAGGTTCAGTAATTTTCATTGTCGAGTTCTTCTGTCCTTCAGTAAGTTGAATGTTGTCTTCATCCCATTTTAACCTTGTAAAAAAAAAGGTTATTGCATTAATGCCGAAATTAGTAAAATCATTTTAAGTACGGGGGTGCTTACCTATTTTTTTGTTGAAAATTTATGGATGGTTTTTTGAGAATTCCTTTAGGTTTGTTCTCAAATGTCGCCATTGACAGTATTGTTGACTGGAAACTGGAAACCCACTGGACGTCAAGATTTTTCCAGTGTTCCAGTTCCAGTGAGAAATCCCACTGGAACGATTTTTTCACCGGATCCATATTATTATTGGCCAATAAAAATATAAATAGTCAATAATATTATCACTAAAAACGCATCATTCACACGTGACTTTTGAAGTACCATTCAAACATGGTCGAATGGCGTGTTGAATGGTACGTACGTACGTACGTATCATTCAATTAATGTTTTTATTTTTGCATTTCTTTATTCACATACGTAGCACAAACCTCCAAAACCCGTATACAGAATACAGTATCAAGTATAAAAAACTAAAAAAAAACTAACCAATTACCGTATTTTCCCAACATGTATACCCCCCCGTGGGCTATACCCTGTAGCAATTTAGAGTGCCAAATTTTGATTTATACCCGGGTATATAAGTACGGGAGTA